GAGAGTGAAGAGAGTGAGGGGAACAGTTGGCTGTCAGATGTCTTCTCAAGGAAGTTAACCACAAAAGGTAGGAGAGGTACTAGAAGTAGCAGATGGGGATAGGAAGATCAAGTGAGGGTTCTTTGAGGACAGGGGAGACAGAGGTATGTTTGTAGTCAGTAGGGAAGCAGCCAGCAGACCAGAAAAGGTTGGAGATAAGTGAAGGAGTGGGGGTGACAGGGGAACAGTCTGCTGAAGAGACAAGGTGGAATGGAATCACTTCCATTGCTAGAGAATGATAGAATGCATCTAGGTATTGTGAGATAAGGAGAGAGGTGAGGGAGTTCATGGTGAAGGGGCTTAATTTTTTCTGTCAAATACGAAGCAAGATTCTCAGCTGAGACAGTGGCTGAAGGGGAGGTGTACAAGGTTTGAGGAGAAATAAAAGGGTTTGGAAGACCCTCAGGGGGAGAGTGATGTAGTGAGATGATAAGGGAGATATAATAGGATTGCCTAGCAGTAGCGAGGGCCCAGTTGAGACTATGTAACTTAAATTTGTAGTGAACCCAGTCAGCAGTTGCATGATTTTCTCCACCTCCATTCAGCATAGTGTACGTAGGAGCAAAGATGATGAATGGTTAGAATGATCCAAGATTGAGCCATGCAAGGCATGGTCGGCCAGATGATAAGGAAGCCAGCAGCTCAAGAGAAGAAGACTGTCTGGTGTTAAAGTGGTTCACCAAGGGGTCAGGATGGGGAAAAGAGGAGAAAATGGCTAGTGCAGAGAAGATGACCTACAAGAGAACTGAGGGGCTGAGGAATTTGAGACCACCATGTGGACAAAGAGCAGTATTTGGTCATGGAAGAGAGTATAGTGAAAATGCAGTAGATTGTAATTAGATAAGAGGGTTTCAGAGTTTATGAACTTGAAGATGGTGTATTTATGGTGATGGCAAGATCAAAGATATGACCATCTTTGTGTATGCCTGAGGTGGAGTGGAGAAGTAAGTCACAGAAAATGAGTAAGTCGATGAACTAGAAGGATAGGATGTTTAAGGGAGTATCTGTATGTATGTATGTTGAAGTCCCCTAGTATGAGGGCAGGAGAAAGGAAGGGGTGTGTCCTGGAGGTCTGTAGACAACAGCTACCAGGATTTTGATTGGGTAGTAGATGTGACTAGTGTGAACCTCAAAAGAAGGAGAGATTACTGAGTGATGATGGTAGAGAGACAACTGGAAATGGTGGTAGAGAGCAAGAAATATTCCAGTTCCCTCACCTTAACCAGTGAGAAATGGGAATGAGTAAAAGTTCAGCCAGTGCCATGAAGGTTGCATCATCAGGGGAAGTCAGATCTCAGTGAGAACTAGAAGATGGAAAGAATGGGAAAGGAAAAGAATTCAGATGAAAGCAAGTTTATTGTCTATGGAGCAGGCATTCCAAAGGGCACAGTGAATGGGGTGGGTAGCTTTGGGTCTGGACTTGGACAGAGTTGGTGGGAATGGGAATAAGGAATCGAACGGGAGGTGGGATGGGTGGGGTGGGGTGGTAGGGAATGTCATTTGGATGATTACCTATGAGATTTCAGAATCACTAGAATGGAGCAGATATGACCAGATGGCAGTTTGTTCATCCTTAAATGAAAGATTTTTTTCAAGGTCAATAGTATTATGATCTCTGAGGGAAGTCCTTTCAAAATCTTGGGCAGTTCAGGTGAGGGAGCAAGAACTTAGATCAGAGGGGGGATACTCCCCTTCTCTAGCAGGCCTCCCCCAGTTACCATAGGACTACTTTCCTACTCACTGCTGATTTCTGGTTTAGGGTCCCCTGCACCCAGATCCCTAAGACATTCCACTAGAGACTTCCTTCCAAGTTCTAATGTACCCCTGTTCCTCCCAGGAACTCCATTCCTTGTTGCTCTGCCCTTGGCCCCAGGACATTCTGAACTCCCCTGGGTACACTAAAAGTAACCTATGTTCCAGGTAATCCTTCAGAATTCTAGGAGGCCTACCTGAGCGTCCCTTCACACTCTCTCTCTCTCTCTCTCTCTCTCTCTCTCTCTCTCTCTCTCTCTCTCTCTCTCTCTCTCTCTCTCTCTCTCTCTATCTCTATCTCACGCACACATGCACACACATCCGTGTACATTGTAGGGAGGGGTAGTAAATGTGGATATAATTTGGGGTGGTGAGGGAACGGGAAAGAGAAATCCAAACATGGAAACTAATCATTTTATCAGACAATGGAGATACTTGTACTGCCTCTTTCACATTATTGGGAGAAAGCACGCCAGAGTGCTACCAAGATGTGTGAGTGGGATTTGTGATGCCCCGGTAGTTAATAGAGAGCTTCTATTTTTTTGTCTCAGAGCACTTGATGTACATTTGCACATTTGATCCTCACAAACATCTTCACAAATAGTCTTGACACGTTTAGGGCCCTTTTTGCAGATTAAGGAGCCATGATGCAGAGATCAGTTAAGTGACCTAGCCAAAGTCACAAAAGCAAGTTAGTGGCTAAATCAAGGCTAGACCATCAGTTTCTTGACTCCAGCATTACTGCGTCATCTCACATATCATCTAGCATAGAAGGTACTTAATAAATGTAATTCTTCTCAAATATACCACTGAATAATTTTTTTTTAAATATAAGGGATTTCTGGTTAGTCTGGTGGAATTGAGCAAACCTTTTCAAAATTAGTCTTTGCTAAATTTAGAATGACTATATATTTAATAATCAGGGCCCAGTTGATCAGGGCTGATTTTTCAACCTGAAACACTCAGTATTTGTATAGTTCTCTTCAAAGCATCTTATGTGAATTTCTTAATTAATCTACACTAGTGTAAATGTCACTCCCCCCATTTTCCGGGTAATTGGATAAGGGGGCAGGGTAGTAAGAAGAGCCAGAATCAGATCTGAATCCCTAGCTTCTAACCTTGTGCTCAGATCTCTGGGCCACTCTTTCACATAGCAGTCGCTCACTGTAGCAGGAACGTCAGATTGATTGGAATAGTCAGACACCATTTAAAAGGCTTAATTCCATAGACGGGCAGTTTATCCCCACGTGGTTCTTCCGAGATGTGATTCATTAACACAAGGGACAAAGCCATAAGTAGCATGGAGATTTTGTGTAGTCCAGCCCTCAGAAACCAATTGTTTACCTCATTTGGGGGGACAGTAGCACTGGCTTCCTAGAGAGATAGATGGTGACTTCCCCCTCCCTCATGTAAATACTTCGTGAAGCCAGTACGAAGTACTCCACAGTGGAGGGCCTGGGCTTGCTCTCCACGAGCATGGTGGGGCTGGGAGGCCAGAAGCTACCCAAATGGAGGTGTGTTCCTGACGAGGGAGGCCAGAGTCCCGCTGTCCTGCCACACTCAGAGTGTGGTGTTCAGTTCTAAGCACCACACTTTTGTCAGACTAGGGGCATCCAGGCTGGTGAGGGGACTGGAGATAATTCCATATAAGGACCTATCAATTCCCGGAGAAAGACAGACTGTGGTGAGGGAGTGAGAACGGCTACAGACATGACAGCCGTCTTCTGGTATTTGAAGCACTGTTATGTGGGCAAGTTCCATCTCTCGTCACCAGGTCTTTGCCTACCATACCCCCACAACTGGAATTCACTCATTCCTCCTCTCCGCCTCTTAAATCCTTCCTGCAGAGCTCACCTCCAATGCTGCTTCAATAAAGGCCTTTCTTATTCTCTTCAACTGCTGCTGATGGCCTCCCCTGCACCCCTGCTACACACAGCGAGGCTGGATTTCGTGTTTATATTTTGTATTTACTTATCTTGCTTCCCTCACCCACCCCATCCCCATCACACATACACAGAATAGAAGAGAACCTCCTGGAGGCCAGGGAGGATTTCCCTTTTTGTCTTTGTATCTCCACTAACTTACACCATGCCTGGCACATACCGAGAGCTTGCATATTGGTGCTTGTGGATTGATGAACTTGGTCCCAAGAAGCAGGATTAGGAGTGACAGATAGAAAATGTAGGCTTACGCACATGTTTGGAAAACCTTCCTAGCAGATTATAAAAAGGAGAATGGTCTTTACCAAAGGTGGATGTGATGCTTCCAGAGAGAGTTGATTCCCTGCTGTTGGAGGTCTTTCGCCAGAGGTGGGCTAAATGAGCTCTTGTTAAGGACGCTGGAGAAGGGCTTTCTAGTAGGGCTTAGGTGAGATGACCTCTGAAATCTCTTTTGAGTCTGTGAATGCCACCTAGGAAATGGTGGGCATGCCTCCCACAGACGCCCCATGAGCCTGGTGCCTAAGTGGAGCTGTAAGAGTCAGGTCAGAGTGCCGGCAGGCTGGCCTCTACACTCACTGAAAAGCAGCATGGAAGAGTTGGCGTTTGGGTGGGCCTTGGAGAAGGCTAGTGAAGGTTTCAATAGGAATGTGAAGAGAGAAGAGGAGGATGGTCAGTGGCAGGAGCCAAGTTGTAGAGAGTGAACACTGTTCCGTGAGGAAGCTCCCTGCCGAAGAGCCATCCATGATCATGTGTGGGGAGAGGCAATGGTGTGGTATAGAGTGCTGGCCTCGTAGCTGGAAGACCTGAGTGTGAGTCCAAGTTGTGTAACCCACGCCACGTTACGTAGCCTCTATTTCTGTTTCCTCCTTTGTGAAAGGAAACATTTACATGACCTGTTTCATAGGGCGATTGAGAAGAAAGATCTTTGTAAAAGAAAAGTGGTAGGCAGACTTGAGATGATAGGGAGGCCAAGATCTCTGGTAAAGGACCTTGAGTAACCAGTCACAACCATGTGTCCTTAGGACCCAGGCCTGGATCGGTCTGCTTTACTTTTTAAGCAGAGTGCCAGCCTCGGTATCAGGAAGACCTGGGCTCAGATCTCACCTCTGAGACTTAGTGGCTACAAGGCCCTCGAGCAGTCCATCAGTCAGCAAGTATGTAAGTGTTTATACTATACTGAGTACTGTGCTGGCCCCTCTGTAAGATGAGGAGATTGGCCTGGACATTCAGGCTTTGAATCTGGGATCCTATCTCGTGTCTCACCCAGAGCCACATCACCAGTAGGCTGGAGGCAGCTTGGAAAGAGCAGTGCAGAAGACCTGGGTTCAAGTCTCACCATTTCTCCTTAACTAATTGTGGGACCTTCAATATGTCCCTCAATCCATCTGAGCCTCAGTTTGAGAAAGTGAGGCTAATGTTCCCTCCAACTCTGACTTTCTGTGATTCCAAATGGCAGATTCCAAGTCAAATCTTCCAATTTCTGCCTCCTCTACCAGCACCATCCCCTTGTAGATGCCAGCCCCATTGGGGCTGGACAGGAGCCACAGTTGTCCTTCTACGACAAGATTCTCCATCAGAGACGAATCCCTGATTCTGATCCTCCCTTCTTGGTCAGCGTAACTGGGTGTCAGCCACACGTTGAAGGCTTACTCTGGTATCGCCATTTTGAGGGATACTTTTTACTCGTTCAGTTTTTCAGTATTTTCCAGCATATGGTACCATCATCCATGCCATCTTGAGGCAGGCGGAAGATGAACAGGCCACCCAAGGGTGTTATCTTCCCAGGTTCTAGGGATGCAGCATGATCTCCTGAACCAGAGATGGCAAACACATGGCTCAAAGCTCCAGATAGAAATATAATTGGGAAATGTCAAACAAAGTGAATAAAAATGCAAGAAAACACGTTACTATGTGTCATTCTAAGTCTAAGCAGCCTGCAGGGGTCCTTCTATGGGGTTTCATGACCCTGTTTTTATTTGAGTTTGACACTGCTGCTCTGAGCTAATACTCAGAGTTGACATTCTCATTTCCCTTATTAATAGTAATTAATGGCACGCTTTTCAGTGGCGTTCTCGGGATTCCTGAACACTTTCCTCACCATAAGATATGGAAGGGAATCCCTGTTTTGTCAGGAGGAGGACCTCAGAGGAGGAAAGAGCTGAGACCAACTTAGGTCCTATTTCAGAGTCTCTTTAGGAAGCCCATTATGACGCTACTGTCATTGACTTTATTGAAATCTTCCTTAAATGTATGTGTTATTTTTTTGTTTTTTAATTTAATCTTGGTCACATATATTGTGGTGCAAAATGTTTTTGTTTTTGTTTAATCAAATCCATCTAATTCATCCCCTATAATTTCATCTATTTGCTCAGTAGATAAAATTGTACTCACCTTCTCCTCCCCCACACACATAAAACTGAGATAAATATCTTCTTTTACTCCTTACTTTTTTATGATTCTTTTTTTATGTTTGTCTACAATCCAGCTAGAATTTATTAGGGTAGATGGTATGAGGTGAGGATCTAATATACATGAGCTTTATATTTCATGGGATTTAAACACCCAAATTTTCTAGTTTCAGGTATTTCTTTATTATTTAAAGCCATGGAGGAAGGGAATCAGGGAACCTAAGTTTTTTTTCTAGCCATGATGATTTGTGGGGGCATGTTTTTATCATTTTTAATATTTCCTATTATGGAATATTTAATTTGATGTTGAAGCCTTATGATGCAGGTCCCCCTCATGAAGTGAGGGCATCATCAATGTTTGCTGAATTGAACTGAATCTAGGGCCAGAGAAGACAACAGCTCATGGTGGGTTGAGGGGAAGGGATAACCTGATCATTTACAAGGTGTTTTCTTGAAAATGCAACCCAGGGTGGGCACGTACTGTTGTTCCGTTTTACAGGTGAGAAAACTGAAGCCCACAGACCAAGTCAGATCTGTGGCACTCACTCTCTTAGACTTTGAATCCATGTTGGGTGGCCAAAGGTCTGACCTGTCTCACATCAGCAGGAGGCACATTTGTTTTTATCACATTCTGTCAGACTTATTGAGTGGGAATCCATCAGATCTTAGTTAAAGGTTAATCGTAATGTGTGGAATGGATAAACAAGAAGCTTGAAGCTTTCCCTCAAAGACTCCAGAAGGCTTAGAGGAAAAGGAAAGACTCCGAGATAATGATCAGTGGATACTCGAATTTTCTGGCTGAGAATGCCAGTGACGGGAAAGAGCCAAGAATTAAATTGATGACCTGGAAAATAAGATGTGCTTAAAGAAATGTCAGATTGGTGGGAGGTCCTGCAGGCAAAGAGACAGGAAAAGGTGGAGATTTTATTTTCCCTTTCAATGAATTACAAAGGTGTTGGGATTTGATAACTCTGAGCTCTCTACAATGCCTCATGCATGTGGTATTTCTGCAAAGGCCCATCCTTATGATACCCCCCCAGAGGAATATGAATGCATAGCACATATACTTGTATATTTATGCATTATATATATATATATATATATATATATATTATATATATATATATATATATATATATATATATATATATACACACACAACACACATGCAACACTCACACCCCTCTCAAAACAAGTAATAGAGTTTTAAAATTATGTTTAAAGAATATTTGAGTCTAGTTTAAAGGTTTCAGAATATTTTTCAATCTATATTTTTTCACTATCGTTTCCTGAGATGTAGCTGTTTAAAAGGAGGCTGAAAATATGGATTTGGACCATTGTAGGTTGGCTCTTGTGAGGCTAAGAGTGTCTACTCAAGCCTAAAAGATATTCTTTCTGTCCACTTGGAACTTGAAGGTGGTTAGCTATTAAGACAAGTGGAACCTAAATTGAGGAAGGACTCAGAAATATAGAGGGCTTTAATCTTTGCTAATGTGGAACTTGATTTGCTTTTTAAAAATATGTTCAGATGTTTAACCGAATTTTTATGAAAATCTGTCTTGAATGAATTTGCCAGAAAAAAGGGGGGATTATTTTATGAGATGGCGTAGTGATTAATCCTGCCACCTGGGTGAGCTTCCCACAGGAGACTGCTTTTTGCAGCTTTGAATTATGTATGAATATTGCAAGGTGATGGGAGATAAAGTTACCGAGGGATTTGTTTGTGTAAAAGACCAGTCTGTGACAACATGACTGTTTCTGGGCAGCACCTTGGCTGTTTGTTCAGCCATTTGAATGAAGGAAGGAAGCCATGTGATATCACAGACACTACCAAACATCAGCGATAAATTCTTAATTTGATGAAAAGCTCATCAGAAGGGCCTTTCTGAGTCCAAGACGTCACTGGGAAGCTGGAACTCCTGTAAGTAGAAAACACCAAGAGCAGGCAGTGAATAGTGGCAGACTCAGGAAGGGCTTGGGCGACAGCTGTTGGCTGAGGACAGATTTTACCCTCGCTCGTGGCCAGAATGAGGACTCTCCCAGGAAGACTTAGAATGTAGAAGAAAGCACCTTAGCCCGGCAGGTGATGACTGGGTTTGGAGCCAGAGGATCAGGGCTGAAAGCTTGGATTTGCCACTTGCTGCCTTTGAGGTCCATGTCCAGGCCCTTCTCTTGCTGAACTTCTGTTTCTGTATCTGTAAAAATGAGTGGGTTCTGCCCAGCTCTAGAACCCTATGATCCACTTAATGGGCCTTTTCTCAGTTTACTTCTACATTTTCAAGAACTGATTGGTCAAATGCATTGTTATTTAGATCTTTTTTCTGTGGTATAGTATAGTGCATAATCTAAACTCTCCCAGCCTTGGCTTTCACTCCCTGGTTGGGTGCCCTTGTCTCAGAGTAGCCCTGAGGGCCCAAGCCCCTGTAGATGTGCTTCCCACCATAATGGTCCGTTGATGAATCAGCTAGGCTCTATTAACTGAGGTGGTGTAATGAGAACACTTGGTCCAGAAATATCCTCCTCAAATCCTATCCCACTCTCCCACACATGCACACAAAACCCAGGAGAAAGAGAGCGTCAGCTGAGAGAGCACATTTGACAAAGAATTAACTCCTAGCTCCTAGAATTCCCTTGGCTGGGCTTCTCAAGACAGTCGCCTGGGTCTAGGGTAGCTTTTTACTCCGCTTTTCCTAGCACTGTGGACCTGCAGCCAGTCCATCCTTGGCTCCCAGTGCAGACAGTGCCCTAAATCCTTCCAGGGATGTTCCTCAGATGCCGTGGAAAGATGGAGAATCCTCTGGATCTCCAAAGTTCCCAATGTCCTCCCTCAGCCGTGAAGGGAGCAGGGCAGAGAGGCTGAGGCCAGAGCTCAGGCGTTCTCCCAGCCCAAGTGAAGCCTTCTCAGAGATGGCTACCTCTCTTCTACTAGACTCCCAGACCCCCACCTCCACCCACAGTAGGATCAAGTGTCCTCAGCCAATCCAGAGTCATCTGTGCTTTGTTGTTTTCAGTTAATCCCGATGGCTTCTCAGAATCATCTCAGCTAAACAAGACCTTTTCACACTTAGTTGGAACGCTTTTGATTTAATTTAATATAGACACGTTCGTAGGTTTGGATACTAGGTGTTAGGGAGGGAAGTTAAATTGTTTTACTTAGTCAACACCACCCTTACCATTGAATAGTGCTACTGAAATATGTGTGTGTGTGTGTGTGTGTGTGTGTGTGTGTGTGTGTGTGTGTGCGCGTGCGCACGCGCGCATGAGAGACAGACAGACACCCCTCTCTTCACAGAGGTTGCGCTGAGATATATATATAGATAGATAGATAGATAGATAGATAGATAGATACAGATATATAGTATCACGACCTCCCCACTCCCCCCTACAAAAATCTTCTCAACATAACAGAAGACATGTGACAAACAGTGCAAGACACTACTAAGGGGCCGAGGAGGGCAAAGAATAAGAAAAAGGTGTTACATTCACCAGTAAAGAGATCGCTGGGGACCCTGAAGAGACCCATTCCAGGCAGTCGCTGGGGATGGTGGCCAGATTACAAGGGACTGAGAAGTGAGTGGGAGGCGAGAAGGTGGAGACAAAGAGACAGCATTTTCTAAGAGTTGGTAGTGAAAGAAAACAAGGTTTTGAAGGATTTTTTGTTTTGTTTTTTTAAAGAGTGAAAGAGATAGGGCAGCTAGGTGGAGCAGTGGATAGAGCACCGGCCCTGAAGTCAGGAGGACCTGAATTCAAATCCAGCCTCAGACCAAACACTTGACACTTACTAGCTGTGTGACCCTGGGCAAGTCACTTAACCCCAATTGTCTTAAAAAAAAAAAAAAGAATGGAAGAGATGTGGGCATATTTGTGAGCAACAGCAAAGGTGCCACTGGATAAAGAGTGATTGAAATTTTAGGGAGAGGGCAGGAGCAGACTCCCCAAGGAGATGGGATGAGCTGCTTGAAAGACACAGATCAAAGGGACTGGCAAAAAGAAGAGTGACTTGATCGGGAGGACACAAGCAAAGGAAAGAATAGAAGAGGCTTCTGAAGGAATGCCTTCTTTGCACTGATTCCGCTGTGTGTCTGGGCTTCCTAGAATGCAGGTCTACGACCCTTTTCTTAGACTGTAAACTCCTTAAGGACAGGAACTCATTTTCTTCATCTTTGTATCCCAAGTATCGAGCACTGGGTTTTACACAGAGTACTCACTAGTAGATGTTTGAATTGAATTGGATTCGATTTCTCTGCCTCAAGATTATTTCCCAGGGAAGGTTTGAGGGCCACTTTGTTAATGGATAAAGCTGTATTTGTGAAACATCATTCTACTACCTTGGATACTGTGTACCAAGCACTGTGCTAAGTGCTGGAATGCAAATACAGGTAGGAAAGAAAACAATCCCTTCCCTCAAGGATCTCACATTCTGATGGGGGAAGGTGTAGGGTTATGTTTCTGTGTGGTACGGAGAGGACTCATTCAGAATTCATACCAAATATTAAGTTTGTAGATTGTATAAAATGCCTAAAGGTCCTGATGATTGATCATGAATCGTTAAAGATTTCTTTCCTTCTTTGTCACCGCTGCTAATCTTTTTCTCTTGTCCCTGGAGAGTGACTGTGTTGACCTAACTGTGATGCTGCTGATCAATTCTCTGTTCATTTGGAGTCTCTGCGTGTTCCCACATCTAAGCTTGAACTCCCCAAACCTCTGCCCTCTACAGTTTCAGTCCAAAAACCCTTCTTCCCGTATCACGGGTACATTGAAAGCATTCCTCCAGTCTACCTGTAAATGCATATTTAAAACCGCAGCAGCCATGAGAAGAGTCAGGTGATTTCACTTTCATGAGCTTTGGGTGGTTCCTTCCTTCCAAATGAAGATCCTTTTAATGGGCTGGTTCATCCACCTGGGCCCCACTTCAGATGAGTCTATGTGAGTTAATCAGCCCCAGGTAAGCGTCACTTCCTCTTCTAGAGCTCTGCTAGTGCTTGGCCCAGCTCCAGGCCCAGCCCCTAAGGTAAAGGTGAGGGTGCAGCAGGTGACATCACTCCGCAGAATTCAGGCCTCTCGCTTGTAGCTCGCCAGAACTCAGGGGGATCAATGGCTCACAGACTCTCTAAACATGATTAACAGACTCAAGAAGGCCCTGAGAGAATTTCCTCTAATGGGGAATTGTGTCAGTGAGTACAGTGGGTGAGTCTTTTCTTTCTTTTTTCCTGGGCCTGTGTTTGGTAGAACACTGGAGCACCTAGTGCTTACGCTGCATGTGCGTGGGAATGAGCCTGCTGTGAAGGGAGGAGCCTCCCAGATTGGGGCCTGCACTGTCTGTTAGCTGAGGGCTTTTACATGCCAGCAGAGCAGTGCACACAGTGGCTTCCTTGAAAGACCCCAGGTCCCACGAGCAAAGCAGACAGGTAAGTGTAGAATGGTAGGGTCAAGGCCAGCTTGGAGGATCCTGAAAAGGCTTTGACCTCTGCTCAGGGACGGTCTGATGGCAATCCATATTTGTGTGTCACAGATTTTAGGCAGGGAGAGGAAAGAGGCAGAACATTAGGGACCTAATATCACCTGTTTGGACCCCTCCAAAGCTGGCCCAAAGTTGGAAGAAAAAAATCTGGGGGGTTTGTAGCTATCATTTTTAATGGCTGCTGTTTTCTTTTTAAAATCACAGTTTTCACTGCTTTGTAATTAGAAATGTTTTGCATTAATTCTCATATCCAGCAGAATGGCATTCTAGTAGGCAATCACACTTTTCTGTATGAAGCATGCGAAAAACTAATCTGTGAACCACAATTCTGACTCGAAATCCTCTGAAACGTTGTCTTTTTGAGATGCCACGTTGACTCTGTCTCTACTGACCTGTTTATATAGGTCCAGTTTGTGTCAAGATAGCATGGGATGTCCCAAGTGGGAAAGCGGAGGCAGGTAGAAGTTTGCATTGCGGTCAAATCAGGGGCACTTTGAGGGGGAAGAAGGCAGATCTCAAATCTTAAGCTCAAAAGGTTATCGATGCCAAGCGGAGGAGACTTTGGGTACTATGTAGTCCAGTCCCCTTGTATAACAGAGGTCTAGAACGATGAAGTGGCATGCTTGAGGTCACTCAGCGCTCTTCTTCTGAAACTCCATACAATGAAGGCTCATTCCAGTGGACCATTCTTCTACTATTTTTCCATGATTTAAATTTTTTGGGGCTACCCCATTCCAAGCAGACTTTGGTCAAAGATGCATTGCATTCAATTCAGCCTGTTGGGCAGGGGCCTCCTTGCCCAAAGCTGCCTTTGTAAGAAGTCACTGATGACTCCGTTACAGCCTCTCCCATGGGAATGGGTGGCTGTGCCCCAGCCTTCTCCGCTGGGCGCACGTGCTCAAGCACGATAGCTAAATTACTAAGTCATTAGTCATCTCCAGTGTGTGGGAGTCCCCTGGTTCTGCCATGCTGCGAAATGATATTTTTGAATGTCTGTAGCCAAGAGACTCCAAGGTATATTTTTCTGTCTAACACATACATATTTTCATTAATGATAGATTGATAGGAAGGAGCTCCTTGCCCCTCAGAATTGCTCCTTCAAACCCACACAAGGGGATATGTGCTTCACATAAGACTAGACAGAAATATATTTCTTTTTAAAGAAATTTTCTATAAAAAGTGCTTACAAATGCCCTCATTAATTAGTACTGATGATCAAACTAGAAATAGCATTGAATAGTGTGTGTATTCTTTGCTTCTTCCTACCTTCCCTATATCCAGGGCACGACTTGGACATTTACTGTGAAATGTTGTCAGGGGGCAGGTGGCTTTTAAAGGTTTCCCATAGCCTGATGGTTCCATAACCTTTTCTCTCTGACTCATACAGCTAGCTTTGTTTCAGACTGTGCCAGCCAGAGCTGAGTGTGGGAAGACTGCCCCTGCCCAAATCTGCCAGATCGGCCCATTCCCTCGCCGTACACATGGCAGTCTCCCAAGAGCTCAGGTAGGGGTGGGGACAGAAAGCAGTAGCTGCCAGAGGATGAGCACAGTGAACCTGGAAGTCCTGTGGCTATGGTGGTGCTTTGGAATGTCTGTGAAAGAAGTTTGAAAGCCCTGAATTTGAATTGCCCTGAGTCGAGGCAGGAGCTCTCGTTGCTCTTTTAAGGAGAAGACTTTAGATTTCCTTAAGACGTGGTCCCTGTTTGCAGTTATTTAAAGGGTTGGAAAAGAAATTAAACTCGCCTTACTCAGCCCTAGAGGACCAAACCAGAGCCAATAAGTGACAATTAAAGGAAAGCAAATTTCAGCCAAACTGTAGGAGGAGCTTAATTTCCAGCTTTCTACCAGAGGATTGAGCTTCCTTTGAGGTAGGCCTTCAAGCAGGCCGAATGACCATGCGACAGTGACATTGTAGACCAGATTCATGCTTCCAGTCAAACTAGGTAACCTTGGAGGCCCCTTCAAACCCAGTGAGTCTATGGTTCTGGCCCAGCAGGAAGTAGGAATTCCAAACTGATGGCCTTCGTCCATCTGGGCAGGCCAGTCCTTTGACCAGCCACTACAGCCTTACTGCCTTCTCTTCCCACTATTTGAACTGCCTCTGTGTTTAGCTGTCTCCATGGTTTTGATGCAAGACTTCTCCGTAGTCAGCAAAAAGCATGCAGTTCCTCTCTCCCCATCCCCCAGCTCTGTTCAGTGACAGACACGCATTCCTCATGGGAGAAGACAAAGTACAGTATCAGCCTTGGGCAAGCCCCATGTCCCCGGGGGGGGTGACCAGAAAGACTGATGAGGCATGCCCCAGAGAACCCTCTCATGACCATGACCTTGTTTGTTTCAGCCAAGTGTCCCATGAGGGGACGTCGAGGGCCCTTCGCGAGTTCCAAGAGCGGCTCCTGTGAAAGAGGGCAGCAATGATGCGTCGGGCCTGCCAGCTTTGCCCCCCCACACCCCGGAGAGGGAAGAAGGGAAGGAGGAAGCTTCAGACCCTTCGGACGAGAGCCCTTGTAGTGCCACGTATAGTAACCTGGGTGAGTCCCAGTCAGAGGGCAGAGGTTCCCTCGGGGGGAGGGTGAAGAGGGAGCCCCTGGGCCAGTGGGTGGAAGTTCTGAGGAAGCGGATTTCAACACAGCACAAGAAGGAGCAATCTCCTTCCTCGTGAGGCAGGGAGACTCCTGCCACTAAGTGGGGCTGGGGGGCTGGAGGAGTGTCTCCCTGACTGGGAGGGTCCATTTCACGACAGCTCAGCTTCCAGCTCAGAAATCCTCTTGTTCTAATAATTCCCACTCAGCTTCCTCCAAGGTTTAAATGCCTCACAACTGCCCTGTCTCCTGTTCTTGCTTAGGGTCTGGTGGGGGTCAGTTTTGATAACATGTTTTCAGCAGACAATTAATCAGCATCTCCTGGGATCACAGGAGATAACACAGATGTAACATGCTACCAGACCGAAAAGCTCCCAGTACCTGTGGGCACAGCTCTCATGTCGCCAGGCCCTGGGGATAAAGAGAGGGTTATAGGCCAGATTCTTTTCTCCTGGAGGCCAGAACGTCAGAGGTGGGGACAGAAAGACGCATGGAGAGAGAGCTGCATTGTGGGAGGGAATGTGATCGGTGCAGAGTGCTGGGAGAAAAGAGTGAGTGAGGTGGACTTAGAGGGAGTAAAAGAAGAGGTGGCCTCTGAGCTGGGCAGGGACCTCACAAGACGGAGGTGGATGGAGCCTAGGTGGCCAGGGTCTGCACCATGGAGGTGGGATGGCATGAACTGAATAATGGAACCTGTAGGCCACAGATGGCTGCACCTGTCACTGACTCGGGGACGTGGCCTTGGTCTCGGAACTCCCAGGATCTGTTGGTCATTTCAAGCCCTTCCCAGCCTGGGCCCCTCCCCCCTTTCCAGTCTTCTTTCACCTTTTTCCTCCCAACGTATTCTGTGGTCTGAGGACACCAACCTCCTTGCCATTCCTAGCACACCATCTCCCACTTCCAGGCATTCTCCATCACTGTCCCCCAGGCCTGAAATTCTCTCTCTCCTCATCTCTGCCTCCTGGCTTACTTCAAGTCCCAGCAAAAACCCCACCTTCTGTGAGAAGCCTTTCCCAGGTCCCCTAAAAAATGTTTCTGCCATCACTCGTAGATTCTCCCAGGTCTGTCCTGTCTGTATCTTGTTCATAAGTCATCTGCACATTTTCTCCCCCCCGTAGATCGTGAGCTCTTGGAGAGCACGGATTGTTTTTTGCTTTTCTTTGTATGTACGGTGCATGGCACAGTGCCTGGCACATAGTAGGAGCTTACCCATGACTTGGACATTGCTGTGAAATGTTGTCAGGGGCAGGTGGCTTTGAAAGGTTTCCCGTAGCCTGATGGTTCCATAACCTTTTCCCTCTGACTCATACAGCTAGCTTGTTTTTTAGACTGTGTCAGTTGATTCAGCAACCCAAATTCTCCTTTTCACGCTCGGGTTGGCTTTTTGTCCGACCCCGGTCACTGTCACTTGGCCACCTTTGGGGGCTGACACTTTCTTCACTGATAGCAGCTGCACACCCTCTGCCAGGCCCATGCTGGAAGCCGTTCCGGCTGGGTGAGAGCTGCTAGAGGGTCCCCTCCACTGACATGACCTGCATGTGCCCAGATCCCCTCAGGGCTGCTCTTCACAGGGCATCAGAGCAGGACTTCAGTGGAGGTGACTCCCAACAGAATAGGTGCTGGAAGATGGCAGACGGTTCCTCGTTCCTCCGTCTTCTTCCTTTTCATCAGGCTCTTACGGGTAGGAAGAACAATGAGAGTGCCCTGAGCATCATCATCCGTGCTAATGTCCGAACTAACCTGGAGAATTCTGGACTTGGGTTCTGGCCCTTCCTCAGAGAGTGTGTGACCTGGACAAGTCAGGAAGCCTCTGTGGGCCTCAGTTTCCTCATTTGTGAAATGGGCAGGGATAATGCATAGTGCTTACCTCACGGGACGGTTGGGAGGATAAGCCGAGATAAAGTGCCTGAAGGGCTTGGCAGACCTGAAAGCACCATAGAAATGTCAGGCATCACCATTGTCACGGCTACCCTGCTACTTTCCACCTTTCCCCTCTTCTCTTCTGCCCAGGCGTGCCCCCTGCCCATCATGTACCTGTCCTCTCCTCTGCCTGGTAGAAGGCCCAGCTGTGGATATCCCTCCCCTCACCCCGAAGCCCAAGGACCCACGTGCTTCTGTCTCAGTGTCCCTAGTGCCTTCCGTGTGGTGGAATAATAATAACTGGTGGGTGAAATGAGTTGACTTGGGCAAATGCCTCCTTGTGAGCCTGGTCAGGCCCCATGGATGCTGGGGAAGGGAAGTGTCTCCACCCTGACGCCAGAGGCTTTTCTGGAGTATGATGAAGGAGAATTGTGCTTCTCCCACCCACAGAAGACGTGGGTGGGAATCTCTGATAGAAACTCGTTTTTTGGTAGAGGAATTTGGGAGACATTTACATAGTTCTCAGAGCCATTGCCCAAGCCCAGGTGATAGAATTTAGGAGACATTCTGTTGTAAACACTTGTCTTAGATTAGATCTCTCTCCTGAGGCTCACTTTAAAGTGGACAGTAATTTTCACTAAATAGATCTTATTTCCAAGAATTTTTTTCTTTAAAATTCAGTCATTTAAAAATTAATAAATTTCTTTTGTCTTCTTGCTGGTATAGGCCAGGGATAAAGACAGAAGCATGGTAATTGTATATACAGACTGAAGGATCACAGAATTGAAAGCCAGAGTTGACCATAAAGGTTATCGAGGCCAATCCCTTTCTTTTAGAGATGAGAAAGTGGCGTCATGGAGGGGAGGCCAGGGGGGGAGGGAGGGGGAAAGGCATTGCAGGAAGTAGCATGTCCAGGGTTGGAACACGGATCTTGTCCAGGCCTCTCACACACTCGGTCACCAGCTGTGGGTCCCTTCTCCCCTCCCCTCCTCTTAATTCCTCAGGCTCAGCTTGAGAGCAAGGCAGACAAACATGTTAGTCTACTCTTTGGGCTAGTCCCGAGAATAACCGTTTGTGAAAATTGAATTTCAGGTTGATTTCTTTTCGCAGTTTGAGGTACATGAGCCCTCCTTGGCCTCCAGAAGCACATCCCACTGGTTAGAAAGCAAGGGAAGGCAGTCCTCTCCGGGCAGCTGTGCTAAAAGCCCTAGATAAAACAGGCAGGCCTGTACTTGAAGAGAAGTCCTGGAGAATAGGGTTGGAGGCTAAGGCTTTCCATCCAAGGTCAGGTGACCCTGGCCAGTGGCTTTACTGCTCTGTAAAGAGGGAGGAGGAGGAGATTAGATGATCCCAGCCTCTTCCGGGTCACATGCCTGGAATCTAGGAATAGAGCAGAAAGAAGGTTCCGCGCTTTGTAGTAACGGTGACAGCTTGCACATCGAGAAGCGTTTGTGAAACACCTACTAAGCGCCAGGCACTCGAGGTAACGGAAGGAAGGGGGGTAAGCCCAGTTCTTGCTGCCAGGGAGCTCACAGACTAAGTCCCACCTGCAGACAGCTCTGCGTAGACGGAATAAACGGGGAGGCAGCAGAGGCAAGGCTGGTGCCGGTGTGAGGGGGGTTGGGAGAGGCCCCCGTAGGGGGCAGGGCGCACCTGGCACCGCAAGGCAGAGAGCTTCAGGCACGCAGGGCGGCCGGGGCGCCCGCCTTCTGCAGCAGGGTGCCCCGTGTTTGGCATTGCCCTCCTTTCCTGCCCCCGGTATTGGCCTGTGCGTGTGCCTCCAGAAGAGCGGCCGGCGTTCGACGTGGGGCTCTGCCGTTAGCAAGGCCCTTTGTGTACGCTCCCCTTCGATCCTCGCGGTAGCCCCGTAGAGGTGGTGTCGCGTGCATTGCTGTTGCTGTGGACGTTCCCTCCCCGGCGCAGAATCCTTCCCGGCCTTACTTTAGCCAGAATCATGGCCTGCCGTGATGGTGACAATGCCAGCGCCCTGGGGCCAGCCTTCTCGGCACACGTTTTCTCACCACTTCGGTACTACAAGCACTTCTGACTGGGGGTGGACCTTCCAGAGCCCGCACCCCACTAGCATATGCTTCGAAAGCCCAGGGTCACCTCCACTCCGCGGTGGTCATCGCCGTCAGAGGTGGTCTCTACTGGCGTTAGCTAAGGAAGCCTGCTTTTTAAAGTTGCTGAAAACCTGTGAGGTCGAGCATCTTGCCCAGCGATGGTTTACTTTGGGCAGCTATAAAAGGACCTCTTTGCACAAACTCTGATCTTCAGTAACTTAATCCGTCGCCTCTGGCCTCCAAGATGATTTGCCAGCATAATGATGGAATGTCGCTTTAATCAGACCTTCAGCATTCTCCCCATGTTTCTTATGCCTATCTCTAAATGTCTGGGAGGAAAAAAAATCACTTGTTTCTTCTGTAGCATATTGTGTCACTTTATCAGCCCACTGAGATCAGGTATACATAATGACTTTTAGTCTGTCAGTAGCAAGTAGTGACTTTAACCCTTCACAGTCCAGCAGCTTTGCAAAATCCTGTCAGCCACGCTGCTTTCTGGAACCAACTAATTGATCTGCACCTTTGAATTTTTAAGGAGAGAGAGCCTTCCTCCTAGAAGAAAAGGGAGAGGGGCTCAAAGGATGGCTCCCTGACGTGGAGGTTATCAAGGGAAATGAAGCATTACTTTGGGGGAAAAATCAGAAGCCTTCGGTCTGCGGCCCAGGAAGAAAAAGCTTTCCAAGAAGCAGAGGGTACTCGGACTTGGATCTGGAAAATGTCACACAAAGGAGACACTGCCAGGAAAGGACACTGTGGATCCTTGTTGCTGTGGGCTGAGCGAACACCCAGGAGTAGTCAAAGAAGAAGCAGTGAGGGGCACGACTGGGGCCTCCTGTCTGCCAAGGTCACTGAGGCTGATCATAACAAGATGGAGGTCTTCTGGCTTCCCCAAGATTCGTCTCTCTGCCACGAGTGACGAAAAGGGTGGGGCTGAAAAGAGCCTATACAATATTGCTACGAATGCAGCGTTTCGGGCAAGGAACTGGTGACCTTAGGAACTCCTTCGGAGTGGTGTTTTCATCACCT